GCGCAAAGCTATGCAGAGAAACCCTGTCTCGAAAAACCAAAAAAAAAAAAAAAAAATTGGCAGATTATAGCTGGACAGTGGTGGTACCTTTAATCCCAGCACTCAGGAGGCAGAGGCAGGCAGAGCTCTGCTAGTTCAAGGCCAGCCTGGTCTACAGAGTGAGATCCAGGACAGCCAAGGCTGAAAAACCACACCCCCTACACCCACACACAGAGGCATGCATGCATAAGCACACTAGAACACACACACACAACACACACACACACACACACACACACAATGGCAGACTCTTGGGACAGGGGTTAGGATGGCTAGACTTAGTCCAGGTACCCAGGAAGCTCAAAGGAACTTGAGTATAATGAAGAGAACACAAAATTCCCCAATAAATACATGATTACAAACTGGCAAGTACCGAGAAGGAAAAGGACAGAGCACCAGGATATCAGTGTCATGTTCTTTAAATCATGCATGGCCTCCATTGTTCACACACTGGTTTGCTGGGTGTTCCAGTGGTGTGTGTGTGTGTGTGTGTGTTGTAGGGTGCAGGTACACACTGTGCACATGACTGTGGAGGTCAGAAGACCACCTCAGGTGTCAAGAAGCTGCCCACCTTGCTTTTGCAGACATAGTCTCTCACTGGCCTGGGACTCACCAACTAGGCTGAGCTGGCCGGCCAAGGAACTCCAGGGTCTGCCTCTCTCTACCTCCGCAGCCCTGGGATTACAAGATCGTGCACCATACTCAGCCTCTTTTGAAAACACTGGAATCAAACTCAGGTCCTCAAGCTTGCATGGCAAGCGTTACCAAATGAGCGATCTCCTCAGCCCCATTTGTTTGTGGGAGACCAAGTCTCACTGTGTAGCCCTTGCTGGCCTTAAATTTGTGATCCTCAGCCTCTGCCCCCAAGGCCAGGTTCTAAGCATGTGTCACCACACCACAGCACACACAAATCTTAACTTCGAGGCCACCCTCCACAGAGGCTTGGGACTGAGTCCAGTCTAACTTTGTGCCACAAATTTCCTAGAGAGCCTCAAGCTAGTCCATTTCCTGAGCTGCAAAGGGAAAACTGAAGCCTGGGCATGATGGCTAAACCTAGAACCCCAGCAACTGGGGAAGCAGATGCAGAAGGATCCTGAGCTGTGGGCCAGCCTCGGCTACATGATGAGACTGATTCTGGTAGGTAGCCACTGAAGATGGATCCTTCCCTCCTAATCAGCTTTGGATTGCGTCTCCTGTTTCCCTGGAAACACTAGAACTGGATGTGTCACAAGTGCCTCTCCCTAAGAGTCAAATATCGCCGGGAGGTGGTGGCACACGCCTTTAATCCCAGCACTCGGGAGGCAGAGCCAGGCGGATCTCTGTGAGTTCGAGGCCAGCCTGGTCTACAGAGTGAGACCCAGGAAAGGCGCAAAGCTACACAGAGAAACCCTGTCTCGAAAAACAAAAAAAAAAAGAGTCAAATACCAGGGCAGGTGAGGTGGCTAAGGGCACAAAGGTGCCTGGGCTCGTGGTGAATGGAGAAAATGACTCCTGGCAAGTTGTCCTCTGAAGGTGTGTGTGTGTGTGTGTGTGTGTGTGTGTGTGTGTGTGTGTGTGTGTGTGTGTGTGTGTGAGAGAGAGAGAGAGAGAGAGAGAGAGAGAGAGAGAGAGAGAGAGAGAGAGAGGATAAAAACCTTTTTAAGATGTAAAATAGCATATGAGAAGGCAGAGGCATCAGTACTCTGTTGAGCCCCTTTTAGGGAAAGCTAATTTCTCCAGGTCAAAAGAAGAGACTCTCTGGCCTTGGGTAGAACATTCCATCCTGCTCTGCCCCGAGCACTAGAACATTACACACTGTTGCCGCCTCCCTTAGAATTTAATCCAACTGGACGCTGATCATAACTTTTCTGTTTATCTCTTCTTCAGACACCAGCCCAGTCCTAAGCATGCTTGCCCTGACGCTCTAGTGCCTGACTCCACTTTCCTCTCCATTTTCTTCCTCTCGGTAGCTGTAGAGATGTACACCTTGACTGCCCTGGTTTCCAGTTGTTGTTGTTTCAAACTAAGAAAGTAGTCCTTGAGCTTAAAATTAAGAAGGAAAGCCGGGCGGTGGTGCACACACCTTTAATCCCAGCACTCGGGAGGCAGAGGCAGGTGGATCTCTGTGAGTTTGAGGCCAGCCTGGGCTACAGAGCGAGAATCAGGAAAGTCACAAAGCTACACAGAGAAACCCTGTCTCGGGGAAAAAAAAAAAAAGAAGGAGGAAAAAAAGGAGGGGGATCTAACTGGGCCTGACAGTCACCTGAGGAACACAGATTCACTTGTAGACAAAATAAGAAAATGTGGCAGGAATAATTATCCCTTTAAGTCAGTGGTTCTGAACCTTCCTAACGCTGTGACCCTTTAATAGTTTCTTATATTGTGGTGATCCACAACCATAAAATTATTTTCGTTGCTACTTCATATCTGTAATATTGATACTGTTATGAATCATAGTGTAAACATCTGTGTTTTCTGATGGTCTTAGGTGACCCCTGTGAAAGGAACCCCCAAAGGGTCGAGACCCACAGCTTGAGAACCACTCCCTCAGAGACCATGTGGCTCCAAAGCCCCTCCTTCAGCCCAGTTGTGTGCAGACCTTCATTGCTAAGCCTGCCAGATTTTCTGAGTTTTAACTCAAAAAGCATAACTTTGCCATTTCCTCCTTTCACCTCTCATTTGAATGCCAGCCAAAATTCTGAGCGTAGTCATCTCAATACCCCTGGCTCTGTTTCCCGGGAGGATTCCCTCCCTTTTTTCTACAGTTTGCAGACCACCATTTCTGACTCTTAGTTAGGTTCTTATTGCTGTGCTGAGACACCATGACCACGGCAACTCCATTAAAGGAAACAGTTAATCGGGGTGGCCTGCTTACAGTTTAGAGGTTCAGTCCATTATGATCATGAGGAGAACATGGCCGTGTGCAGGCAGACATGGTTGTTGGAGCAGAGAGCTACATCTTGCAGGCAACAGCAAGTTGACTGACAACCACACTGAGTGGAGCTTGAGAAAAAGAGACCTCAAAGTCGGCTCCCACAGTGACACACTCCTCCAACAAGGCCACGCCTACTTCAACAAGGCCGCGCCTCCTAATAGTGCCACTCCCTTTGGGGGCCATTTTCTCTCAAACCACCACACTGACCCTAACTCAAAACTTTCTTCCTCTTCTCCATCACCCTCCTCCTGGCAGCTACCAAGATTTACAGCTTGCTGGCCATATTGTTTTTCTCCCATATGCTAATTAAATGATCCTTCTGAGCTTCCTTCTAAGTTAATTTGAGACTTAGAACTCCCAGAAGGGGGCTGGAGAGATGGCTGAGCAGTTAATTCCAGTTCCAGGAAATCTGGTATCCTCACACAGACATATATGCAGGCAAAACACCAATGCACATAAAATAAAGATAAATTATTTAAAAAAAACCAAACAAACAAAAAAAGAACTCCCCTGGTAACAATTCCAGAAACAACCATCAACAGCAACATCATCAAAAGAAAAAAAAAAAAAGAGGAAATCTAGGGATATACTCAATACTAGGTAATAGGTTCTTAACTTAGGATCTGTAGATGAACTTCAGGGGTTCAAAGTTTATGAGAGTGGGCTGTGGAGTACAGCTCAGTGGTACAGTATTGGTATAGTATATACCAGACCCTGGGTTTCATGCTCAGCAACCTCTCAAAAACAAAACGGGGGGGGGGGGGGGGGGGGGGGAAGCAAATGGAAATTTGGCTCCCCACTACCCACTGCGGATAGTGGGCCCACAGTTTTGATCAGATCTTTAACTTGACACCCAAGGACCCGACATGAGGAGCTGACAATTCTCAGATGGGACACACAGGAGACACAGACAACAAAATGACTCTGGAAGTAGGGTGCTGCTTTCTGTGATGCTGGGGATCGAACCCAGGGCCTCACACATCCTGAGTGCTCACTCTACTCCAGCCCTACAGGGAGTTTTTGCTTCTTCGAAACCAACCCTCTCTTGACCTTGTCAGGCCTGACTTCCTCTTGTGGATGAGTCAGCACATAATGGAGTTCCCGAAAAGGAAGGAGGAAACTACCATTAGCCACTCCCCATTCAGGATACAGTGCAGAATACAAGCACTAAGGAAGCCTGTTCTTAATGACAGCAGGAAATTTGCAGGCAAATGGATGGAACTAGAAAATATCATCCTGAGTGAAGTAACCCAAACCCAGAAGGACAAACATGGTATCATGGTATGTACTCACTCATAAGTGGATACTAGATATAAAATAAAGAACAGTCAGACTGCAACCCACAGAACCAGGGAGGATGCCTAGCAGGGGGGACCCTAGGATGACTGTGGCTTAGAATAAGTTTTGGTTTTACCCAATCACTGGGTAAGCTTTAGTGAAACACTTCACTATTAGGATAAGAATTTGTACCATGTCAAGCTGATGAAAGAATATGCTGGCTGTACTTTCAGGAGGGGAGGCTAAAATCTTTTAGATTATGGATTAACCTATAGAAAAATGTCTGCTGTAAATCAAACAGTGAAGGGGAAGATGAATAGGAATCTCACACAACTTAAGTAAAACATAGCTCTCTGAGCAGACGAAGATAAGTTTCTTCTGTATCCTAGGATCTAATCAATATTTATATGTATAATCCAGCTATTATTTGGCTTAAAAGGGCTTATTGGGAAATGTTATTGTGGAGGGCCCCAAAACAGCTTGACCACACAGCAGCCATGACAGGCTTAGGGACCTAGACACAGCTTCTGTGACAGGCTTACTGGCAGGCAACACCCAGACCCAGGAAAAACCTTAAGCTGGTACCACCCAGGGATCCACCCAGGGGTGAGGAAGTACCTGACACCCCAAACATTCCAGCCATTAGATAAGGTGGCCAGATGTCCTTGAATCTAGCACACCTATTTTTTGTTTTACAGATATCCCTAGACAACTGTCAGCCAATCAGGGTCCTGGACCCTGGAAATCCCCTCACCCCACCCTCTGCTATGATAAAAACTCTGCCCCACCTGAGCTCAGGGCTCTCTGCTCTCACCTGTGTCGGACAGACAGAGGGACCAAGCTCCGGAGCATGAAATAAAGGCTCTTTGCTTTTACATGCGGGATTTGGTCTCTGTGGTGGTCTTTTGGGGGTTCCTGAAATCTGGGTATAACATCATTTTTACTATTTTCTACAGAGAAAATATTTTCTAGTTTCAAATAACTCTGGACTTTGGAATTATAACCTGTTTTTATGTTAAAAAAACAAAAAAATTTAAGTGGAAAATGCTGAAGGACCATTGAACTCAATGTTGCATTTACTTATCTATATATGTATAAAATAATGATTATAAATGTTTGTTTAAAAAGGTGAAGTGCAAATGTGAATTTAACAAGAAGTTGTCGATTTTCAACACTGTACATAAACTCCTTTGTTACAAATAAATATTTATGCTTTAAAAAAAGGCAAAAAAAAAAATGATAAAAGGAAGCCTGTTCTTGCCTCAGGGAGCCTACACTGAGTCACTCCATTTGATCCCATGATGATTTGATGATTTCTATAATGGCAGCACCAGTTTACATTTGGTGGAAGAAATTTCTTCGAGACCAGGTTTCTCTGTGTAGTCCTGGCTGTCTTGGAACTTGCTTAGTACCCCAGGCTGGCCTCGAACTCAGAGATCCACCTGTCTCTGCCTCCTGAGTGCTGGGATTAAAGGTGTTTAAGTTTTTTATTCACTTATTTTATGTTCACTGGTGTTCTGCCTGCATGTATGTCTGTGTGAGGGTGTCAGATCCCTTGGAACTGGAGTTACAGACAGATGTGAGCTGCCATGTGGTGCTCTTCACTGCTGAACCATGTCTCCAGTCCCTGGAAGAAAATTTTTAATCACATTTATTATCACTTGTGAATTCATGACATGGTATGCATGTGGAGATCAGAAGGCAACTTGTGGGGCCCAAGGGATTGAACTCCAGTCATTATCATACTTTTCACTAAGACATATTGTGGGATATCTGTTTACACTGTAAAGATGTGTCTTTGCCAAGACACTTTCTGATTGGTTTAATAAAGAGCTGAATGGTTAATAGCTAGGCAGGAAGAGGTTAGGCGGGACTTCTGGGGACAGAAAGAACTGTGGGAAGAAGAAAGGTGGAGACGGCAGGAGATGCAGAGCAAGCAGGATGAGCAGGAGGAGAAGTAACAGCCACTAGTCACGTGGCAGGACGCAGATTAATAGAAATGGGTTAATTTAAGTTATGAGGTAGTTAGAAACAAGTCTAAGCTATAGGCCAAGCTTTCATAATTAATAAGAAGGCTCCATGTCATTGTTTGGGAGCTGGCAGGACAGGGAAACACTTGTTACAACATAGACACCTTCACACTATTGATACACATATGCAGAGGCAAAGTCGCAATATGGCACATGGGAACTCTCGTTAGACTGAAGGGACCCGAAAGGCTGTCTTGAGAAGTCCGTCCTCATGCTCGTGGGGATGTACTTCTCCTACTTCTTCCCTTTCTCTTTACCACAGATCTAAGTTACTGGAATGGATGGGTGGGATGTGCGTGCCATGTGCATGGGTGGAGGTTAGAGGACCCTTGTGGGAGTTGGGTCTCTCCTTCCACCATGTGGGTCCCCCAGAGGGAACTCAAGTCATCAGGCTTGGCAGCAAGCATCTTCACCTGCTGATCCATCATCTCGCTGGTCCTGAACTCCCTTTTCAATAATCCCCAACTCTGCTTCATCTAAGGCAGGAAGGGAGGGAAAGAGAGTACTTCTCAAAAGACAGCGTTCTCAGAGTAACTCAATTTGCAATCCAATTTTTAAGAATGTTACCAAAGCCGGGCAGTGGTGGCTCACACCTTTAATCCCAGCACTCTGGAGGCAGAGCCAGGCGGATCTCTGTGAGTTAGAGGCCAGCCTGGTCTACAGGGGGAGATCAGGACAGGCTCCAAAACTACACAGAGAAACCCTGTGGGGGGGGGGGGATGTTTGCCAAAGCTGGGCCTGGTGGAACATGCCTGCAACCCCAGCATTTGGAAGGCACAAGTAGGAGGGTGAGGAGTTCAAGACCATCTTTGGCTACAAAGGGAGTCTGAAACTAGCTGCATGAGATCCTATCGCAAGCATTAAAAAAAAAAAAGGTTTGCCAAAAAGGTAGCTTGCCTTGCCTCTCTGAAACCTCTGACTGAGATGGACGGTGGCCATTAAGAGGGGAGATAGGAGGGGGAAGCTGGTTCCCTCGCCCACAGGTCTGATATGTGTTTCTGTAAGCATACATGTGGCCAATGAAAAAGAATCTGAAAAGCTCCCCAATAGACTGCACCGTCTTTCCAGTGGAATGAACAGCTTTGTCATTTACATGCGGACAGAGTCCACTCACAGCAGCTGTTCCTTATGCTGGCTGGTGCCAGGTGTTTACTCAGCCATAAAGCATTGAAACAGTGGTGCCACATGCCTGTGATCCCAGCTCTTGAGAGGTGCAGATTCAAGAAGGCTCAGAGTTCAAGACCATGCCTACCTCCATAGTGGTTTGAAGACAGCCTGGCTACACGACATCTTGCCTCAAAAAAACACTACCCCCGAAAAAGGAGAACTATGCCATCTGGATGTAAGAAAAGGGGGAGCAGCACTCAGGAGAGTGGCCCCTACCCTTCACCAGCTGCAGCACTCTGGAAAGTGGCCCCTGCACCTCACCTGGGCAACACACAGGAGCTGGCCCTGGTGATGTAGGTGTGCCGACCATGAGGGCGTGAAAGAGGCAATGCTGGAGAGCTCCCCCTGGTGGTGAGGACGGGGAGAGCTGGCTGGCTGACGTAGGCCCACCGCAACATCCACCCCATCTGTGATCTGCCAGAGCACATAAAGGGACCGGTCCGGCACACCCAAAGCTCCAGGATCTCCACGACACACGGCAACAGCAGGATAATCAAGAGGAGTCCCAGTGAGGGCCCAGCATCCATGGTGTAGCAGAAACCAGAGGCCTCGAACCAGACCAACGACTCTTTGCAGTGAACACTTGCAAGTGAAGATATATGGGTAAAAGGGTTAACTGTGACGCTCTGCTTCTACAATGAGATTTTTTTCTTTTAAATTGTATTTTTTGGGGGGAGGTTACAAGGGCAAAGGGTAGATATGAAGGGACAGGGATTGAAATGCATGATGTGAGAGACACAATAAATAAGGTTTAAAAAGTGTGTTTTGTGGGGGGGATAAAAAATAGTGTACAATTTCTCTCATATGCAGAATCTAGAGTTTTACACACACACACACCACCCCAAACAAAAAGGGAGACTACTGGGATGGAAAGGGGAGACCAGCAAGGTGGGTGAGGGAAGGCAGCTGAAAGGGTGTTTATGAGCAAGGTACAGTGAGTGATCTATACTCATGAAAATCAGAAGGGGCTGGAGGGATGGCTCAGAGGTTAAGAGCATCAACTGCTCTTCCAGAGGTCCTGAGTTCAATTCCCAGCACCCACATGGTGGCTCACAACCATCTGTAATGAGATCTGGCACCCTTTCCTGTATATATAATAAATAAATTAAATAAATAAATAAATAAATAAATAAATAAATAAATAAATAAAAATAAATAAATCTTTTTTTTTTTTTTTGGTTTGGTTTTTCGAGACAGGGTTCTCTGGGTCGCTTTGGAGCCTGTCCTGGAACTTGCTCTGTAGACCAGGCTGGCCTTGAACGCACAGAGATCTGCCTCTGCCTCCCAAGTGCTGGGATTAAAGGCATGTGCCACCACCACCCGGCATAAATAAATCTTTAAAAAAAAATTTAAAAAGTAAGAAAATCAGAGTTGGGGAGATGGCTCAGTTGGTCCAGTGTTTGCACGGACCTCCTGAGTTTGACCTCCAGCACCCACACAGGAAGCAAGCGCTGTAATCCCAGCACAGGGCAGGGGAAGACGGGGAATCCATGGGGCTTGTTGGATAAGCAAGCTGCATTTTCAGTGAGAGACCCTGCCTCAAAAAATAGGTTGGAAGAAGACAAACATTGACCTCTGGCCTATGTAGGCACATGCAGGATCACCTATGCCCACCATACATACACATACAAACAGGCACACACACAAAAGAAAATACCATAGGAAATGTATGCTAACTACAATATATATATATATTTTAAAAACTTTTCCAGATGGGTGTGATGGTAGTTTCGGGATCCTCGGGTTTGGATCTGAGAACACTGCTCATCTAACCAGCTTCAGTAATCACTGGCAAAAGCAACAAGGCCTGTACCATAAGCCAGTGAGTTTCTGGAGCCATTAATCATCACGGAGAAAAAGCAACAAAAGAGAATCACTGCCTGAGCTTATGGGGGAAATGAAGTTAGGAAGAACTAATGGAATGGAAATACCTGCAAAACAACCCCCATTCTGAAAGATCCAACACTTCTGTTGGATCTTGTGTGTATCGGGCTGGAGAGATGGTTCAACAGCTAAGAGCATTGGCTGCTCTTCTGGAGGACCTGGGTTCGATTCCCAGCACCCACATGGTGGCTCACAACTGTCTGTAACTCCAGTTCCAGGGGATCCAACGCCCTCTTATGGCCTCATCAGGCACCAGGCACATGCATGGTATGCAGACATACATGTAGACAAAACACCCATACAGATTGTGCTGGTTAGTTTTATATAAACTTGACACAAGCTAGAGTTATTTAAAAGAAGGAACCTCAATTGAGAAAATGCCTCCATAAGATTGGGCTGTAGGCAAGCTATAGAGCATTTTTTTTTTTTTCTTTTTGGTTTTTCGAGTTTCTCTGTGTAACAGCTCTGGCTGTCCTGGAACTTACTCTGTAGACCAGGTTGTCCTGGTGCTGGGATTAAAGGCTTGCACCTGGCTAGAGCATTTTCTTAATTAGTAATTGATGGGGGAGGGCCTAGTTCATTGTGGGTGGTACCATCCCTGGGCTGGTGGTCCTGGGTTCTATAAGAAAGCAGGCTGATCAAGTCATGAGAAGCAAGTCAGTAAGCAGCTCCCCCTCCATGGCCTCTGCATCAGCTCCTGCCTCCAGGTTCCTGCCATGTTTGAGTTCCTGTCCTGATTTCCTTCAGTGATGAACTACAATGGATGTGGAAGTGTAAGTCAAATAAATCCTTTCCTCTCCAACTTGCTTTTTGGTCATAGTGTTTAATTGCAGCAAGAGAAACCTTAACTAAGATACACATAATAAAATAATTAAAAAGAAATCTGAATCTCCAAAGCCACTGCATAGCTTATGTCTGATGCCAAGCTCAAGAGCCACAGGCAGTGCAAAATGGAGATGAACACTAGAAGCTGCAACCGACTACACAGGAAGGCTGCCTGCAGGGCTGCAGGGTGTGTGAAGTTGCAGATACTGGTGACGAACGTCAGGCAATGGCTGACACACAGACCAGAGCTGGAAGGTTCCCCCTGGCAGTCTGGTCAACCACACCAGTGATCAAAACACAATTGTGGAAGCAATCCAAGGGATATTAACCGACCAGCGAGGCACCACAAGCAGAAGCATGAAAACGTATTTGACGACTTGTAAAGACATCTGGCAAGGGAGCAGTCAGGAGGTCTGGGAGCAGGGCTGCTGACACGAGCTAGGGCCTTGGTCCTATGGGTGGCACATGCATGTAATCCCAGCATTTGGGAGGTAGAAACAAGAAGATAGGGTTGAAGGTCATCCTTGACTAGGAAAGATTTTCTCCAAAGAAGAAAGAGAGAGAAAAAAAACAAGAACAAAGGTTCAAACCTCAATGAGGCTAAAGTCTGGAAATATATAGATGTATATATGCATACATAATTATATATACTTGTATATGATGCACATATTTATAGGTATATATTTGCTTCTGTTTTCTAAATCCATATTCATGTTGGATTAGAATGGTAAATGATTCTCTTTTTTCATTTTCCAGAACTGGAATAAAATATATTTTATGGCAAAAGAAAAAAAAAAAAAGACAACTTGCTTGGTATACAGAATCTTCAGGCAGCACCCCATCTTTCTGGGTGTCCTCTCAGGTCATGGGAGAAGATTCTCGTAGGGGCTAAGGTCAGATGGATTTCCGACCTGATCTTGGGTATGTGTCAAGCATGGCCATACCTGAAAGACACTTTCTTGAGAGTGTGAAGGGCTGTAGGGAGGTCATCTGGACTGCGTGGCATCGGTGGGGTGGGAGGGAACAAGAGGCAAAGACAGCAGTGCATAGCCATTGTGTTTTATTGGACCTGGTGTCTTATTTTACAAAATAGGTAAAGAGCCCAAAATGCAAAGCAGTCAGCCATGTCTGACGGGTTGGGGGCTCTGAGCGGGCCTTCCCCTCAGACCCTAGCTGACTGGGAAGGGAGCTGAATGGGACAAGCAGGTGTATTAGGAGGGGCAGCAGCATGGCAGGGTGCTGACAATAAGGTCGGACCTGAATCCTGTGGTCCCCGCCCTCTAGGTGAGCTCAGGGGCATCTCTGGGTAGACTAGATAGAGGGAGAGGGGACGGACCCTAGAGCATCCTAGGGCGTTGTGGAGGGTTGGGCAATGATTCCAATGAATGCCCCCATACTGGGTTCAGATGGAGTGCCTGCCTGTGTCCTCTCCTTCCCCTAAGGCAGCCACTAGGAGTGGGAAGACTCAAGTTCAGGAAAATCCCTGACTCACTCCAGGCCTCCAAATCTAGAGGCCATGGAAAATTGAAACTGAAGCCATCGAAACAGGTGACAGGCAGGAGGGCAGGATGGGACTTAGAAAGGCATCATCCAGGACACCTCCCACTCACCTTCCCCTGGCCACCACTCCCACCACACAAGCAAGAATGATGGAGAGGATCTGGAGAGAAACCAGCTATCTGGATCCCAGGCTCTCCTAAGACACTGAGAAGCGTATGGTAAATTTCTGGGACATGGCTAAGGACATAAGGCCTTCTGGGGAGTCAAGGAACTCATGTTCTGCTGGCCCCGGACAGCAGACCCATAGAACTTGGCAGTGGCAGCCCCGCCTGGGCTCAACATCTGCCCAGGCTTCCTGTTTTCTGCTCCCACCAATTCCTAGGCCCTAAGCACTGGCTCAAGGCCAAGGTTCTCTCTTTCTTGTCCCCCTCCTGCAGGCTCCTCGAAGGCTATGCTCAAAAGCCAGCCAGGGACATGGACGGAGCATATTCTCTGAGAAAGGATTCTTAGAGGGGAGTCTGTGAGGCCAGGGACGGGGGAAGCACCATAGCACGAGACATTAGTCTAATGTGGTTTCTAGAGTGCGGTCGGGAGGTGAGGAACCACACGGTCCCTACACCGGGGTGTCCTCAGCACTGGCATCAGGCGAGAAGGGGGTGAGAGCTGCTGGGAGCTGGGCACTCCCCTCCCAGATACACGCTGTCCCCTCCTGCCACCCAGCTCCAGGGATCTGGACTAATGAAGGCCCAGGACCTGGAATCCCTACAGCCCCCAGGGTACAGGGAGGATGAGGACAGACCCGGGCAGAGAAGGGTTAGGTTCACCTGAACTAGGACTAGAGCATGGTCACCCCACTAGCCCTCCCCCTGGGTGGGGGCTAGATGACATTATCGAAGAGTTGCATGGACCTCATGATGTTCTCGTCCTGTGGTCATGGTACATGTACGACGTGAGGGAGGCAGGTTAGAGGGAAAGAAGAAGAAAAAAAGCTTGTCAGAGACACAGAGAAAGACATTTAACCTGAGATGGGTACCCTCAGAGGCAGAGAGGGATACACGGAGGGCCTGGGGTGGGGAAGGAGTAAGTCCCCCTTGGTCATGAAAGAACGGACTGGGGGTAGGGGTGACATAAAGTTGAGGGGAGCCTTTTCCCGTTTCGCAGGTTTAGGCCTTAGAGTTCAGAGCAGGGAAATGGAGAGCATGGAGTCCTACCTTTTGACAAGACTCGATGAATTCCTCAATGGTCACCACGCCATCCTTGTTCCTGTCCATCTTCTGCAAGAGGGCGGTCAAGGAGGGGGGACAGGGGGGCAAAGGGAGAGAGACTTAGAGAAGAGACTGGGGGGGGGCCTGTCTGCCCTCCACTCCAGGGCCCCCAGCCCACCCAGACCCCGGGCACCTGGAAGAAGCTCTCCACATGCTCTCTTGGGGCCTCCTCGCGGAGGGCAGGGTATGTGTACTTGCCCATCATGTCGTAGATGGACTTCATGATGTCAAGCATTTCCTGTTAAACCAAATGAGAAGATTTCTCCTAAAGGCCTCCAGCCTCCAAACCCAGGGGCCTAGGGCCAAGGACAGGCCTCCCCCCCCTTACTGGTGACACAGATGGACGCTGTTTATCAGATCCCTCTGGACCATCACCACCCGGCACCCTACACATCGCCCCTCTTGCCGTCAGTGGCCCTGCACCTCCTTGGTGATACAGCCGTCCTTGTTGAGGTCATACAAGTTGAAGGCCCAGTTCAGCCTATCGTCTATGGTTCCCCGAAGAATCACCGATAAACCAGCCACAAAGTCCTGGAAAGGAGGGGGGGTCTTTGCCAGCCCATTCTTTGGGTTTGGCATGGGAATCTCGGACCCCCTGAAGCCCAAAGAAACAGCTTGTCCCACTCATTTCTCCTAGCTCACCTCAAAACTGACAGAGCCATCGTGGTTGGTGTCAAAGGCATTGAAGAGAAAAGTAGCGTAGGTGCTGGAATCTGTGGATGAGCGTGGATGAGCGCGGGGCGTGAACTTGGCCTTCAGGCAGGGGCGCCTGCTTCTTTTCTGCAGCTTGCCCAGCACCCCCCCCCCCATTACCTCAGCATTCCCAGCCCTCCAGAACCCTCTTCCCACCTCAGCCTTGAGACAACAACTGTCTCCTCACCTCCTTGGGGGAAGAACTGGGAGTAAATCTGCTTGAAGTTCTCCTCATTGACGATTCCGCTGGGGCATTCCTGGACAGGGACAACCAGGCTGAGCAGAGACACAAACCCCACTTCCTTCCCATTCACCACCCTCAGGCCAGAGACTCCCGGAAGGAGGAAAAAATCATCTTGCCTCTGTGGAACTTACCACACAGTTCTGGTAACGATTGGCAAGGAGACTTCTTCCCCGGTTACAAACAAACACGAACTAAGTCACAGGTCCAGCCCGCCACCCCCAAGGGCCCTGAACCTCATTGGGTCTGTGGGCCCCATCTCCCTCTTCAAAGCACCCAGGCCATACTCTCCAGGCCAGGCAACTGCACGTCAGCCAGGCCTGTCTGGGGCAGCCCTTGCCCAGTTGGCTACGCCCTCCACTCACGTTCTTGAAGCCTCGGTACAGGACCTGCAACTCTTTGCGTGTGAACTTGGTTTGTTCCTGCAGCTGCTCCAGACCCTCAGGCCGGTGAGACACCGTGGACAGTTCGAACTCATCCTCCACGCTGTCTGCGGGGAGTGGGGGGGGGGGGGGATAACTTTGCCTCAGGCCAGGCCCCTGAGATGACCTGGGTAATCTTCAAAGTTATTAACCCCTCCCCCCTCCTCCCTGTCCGTCCTATCTTCCCCTCCGGAGGCCTGCTTGTCAGACTCAGAGCTGAGAGAGACAGTGGTCAGCTTCCAGGTCTGTTGGGGCTAAGGCCATGCCTGGCTCCAGAGCCAGAGGTCCGGACTCAGCGCTGGCCCCTGGCCCTTGGTGGGGAGCAGCCCAGAGGTCCGGACTCAGCGCTGGCCCCTGGCCCTTGGTGGGGAGCAGCCCCTTGTCGGGGAGCAGCCCCTTGTCGTAACTTCTTAGAAAGGGGATAGAATGGGGGTCAGCAGCTCCCGAAGGTTGAAGCGAAGGGGTCTCTCTTGATCAACTCCGATCAGCCCAGCCCCAGCCCGGGAGAGCCCACAGCCCACCCGATCAAGCCCCGCCCATCCCGGCCATGCCCCAGCCATGCCCCACCCAGCTCCAGCCGATCTTTGTTCAGACCCCCACCTTGATTCAGTCCCACCCCAGCTCCCAACGGCCAGCCCCCAGGCAAGTACCCCCGTCCCGCCCCAACCAGGAGAGTAAGTCACCTGGGTCCAGCGGGCGGGGTCTGTGGGGGCGGAGGGAGGCTGGGGCAGCCAATGCTGAAGGGAGCGAATTGTCACCAAGAAGACCAAGCCCTGCAGACAGACACTCCCCTGCCCCACACTCACAGGACATCTCCCAGACTTGAGTGTTTCCACACACGAACCCCAGGCCCACATCACAGGCACACACACAGTGAGCACAGACATCCAGGACGGGGACTCCCCACAAGCAGCCCCCTTCTTGGATTAACTCTCGGGGTGGCACCCTCAGAGTGAAGCAACGTTTGGGGCTCAAACCGCTACAGACCCGGCCTTTATAGCTTGCTTATGAGGTGGGCAAGGCTCAGCTGAAGAAATGGAGCATACAGACCAAAGGAGACCACTCAATCGGTGGCCCCTCAGTTGAGGAACAGGCTGGGACGAAAAACCTCAGCATCCTGACATCTGGGGAGGTGGACTCTATCCTCTCTACCTGGTCCCCTGGTGGGGCACAGATGACACCCATTCCAAGGTCTGAGACTGCAGGGAAGCCGCAGAGTTGCAGACCAATCTAGCTGGCTAAGCCACCCTGCCATGGCCACCCTGGTCAGGCTTACTCAGGCTTCAGGCCTAACACACCGCGCCCGCCCTGGTCCACCATTTTGCAGACCAGGGTTGCCCAAGGCACTCATCATTGGGCCATCCATTCCAGTGTGTAGCCAGACCCAGCCAGTTCCTACCCCACCCCCCACCACACTCGTCTCACACACGCGCACACACACACACACACACACACACACACACGCACGCACGCACGCACACACACACGCACACACACACACCACGTCTCACCCCCCACCACACTCGTCACACACACACACACACACACACACACACACACACACACACACACACCCCGCGTCTCACCCCCCAGAAGCATAGGAGAGGCACTTGCTTTCACTGACTGAGGGCAGGGCTTGGGGCCCGCAGCACGGCAGCAGCTGGAGGAACCGCTGCTTCAGGGCTTTTTTAGTGGGCCCTGGAGGGTGGCCTGGGAAGAGAGAAGACCCCAGGAAGGCACATTAACTCCCGCTCCCCCACCAATCACAGGTCCACGCCGGCTGGGGTGGGGGTGGGAAACGAATGGGGTGGGGGTGGGTAGACGGGCAGGGTGGCTGGGGCCAGGTCGCCTATCGGGTCTCATAGGCACGGAATGTCAACTGGGGCCAGGCTTGGTCACTTTATATGGCTGGCAAGAGTGAGCGGCCTCCATGTCTGCTAACTGCAACCCAACTCCTCAGGGTAATGTCTAATCAAAGGGGTTGCCTGAATAGGAATCAGTCTCTCCCTCTCTCTCCCCCCTCCGCACGCACGCACGCACGCACGCACGCGCACACACACACACACACACACACACACACACACACGCACACACGCATGCTGTAATTTAGAATGGCAAGTGACATGTAGATGACAGCAACACTAATGGCCTAGGCATGTTCCAACCACATACACAAACATACGCTTTGACCTAACCCTCTAATATATACAAATATGACCAAAGTAAAACATGGTTACACATATGGAGACCCATATATATAGATCATCTCATGCACAGCATGATCAAACCACATAAAATATACAAGGACCCTCAGACATCATAACACTATGTATTAAGGATCTCAAGACAGGGGCTGGAGAGATGGCTCAATGGTTAAGAGCATTGGCTCTTCTTCCAGAGGTGCTGAGTTCAATTCCTAGCAACCACATGGTGGCTCACAACCATCTATAATGAGATCTGGTGCCCTCTTCTGGTGTGCAGGCATATATGCAGACAGAACACTGTATACATAATAAATAAATCTTAAAAAACAAAACAAAACAAACAAACAAAAAAAAAAAAAAAAACTCGGGGCTGGAGAGATGGCTCAGAGGTTAAGAGCACTGACTGCTCTTCCAAAGGTCCTGAGTTCAATTCCCAGCAACCACAAGGTGGCTCACAACCATCTGTAATGAGATTTGGTGCCCTCTTCTGGCCTGCAGTCATACATGCTGTATACATAATAAATAAATAAATCTTTATTAAAAAAAAAAAAAAACTCAAGACATACACCACAGTTGTTATGATATATCCATGACATTGTAACCTAAATCTGTTCTGTGAAGGTCAATATCCATTGTTAACTTGACTGGATTTATTAACTTGATTGGATTTAGAATCATCTAGGAGGCTTGGCAGTGGTGGCACATGCCTTTAATCCCAGCACTGGGAGGCAGAGGCAGGCAGATCTCTGAGTTCAAGGCCAGCCTGGTCTGCAGAGCGAGTTCCAGGACAGCCAGGGCTACACAGAGAAACCCTGTCTCAAAAAACCAAACATACAAACAATCCACCAACAAAAGAATCACCTAGGAGACACACCTCTGGACATTTACTTGAGAGGGAAGACCCACCCTGAATGTGGGTGGCACCATCCCATGGGCTAGGGTTCTAGACTGAATAAACCGGGGGAACTGGCCTGAGTGCCAGTAAGAATTTCTCTATGCTTCCTGACTATGAAGACAGACTTACTCTAACTCTGCTTCTGCCTCTTCCTGACACGATGCACAAGAGCTACAAACTGTCTGCCAAAATAAACCCTTATGTTGACTGATCTTGCCAGTTCTTTCATCAGCCAGAAGTAACGGACATAGAGAACTGGAACCAGGAGTGGGGGTGTGGCTGCCATAAATCTGACTGGGTAGTTTGTAGGTCCTTAGAACTGGTTTTGGGAGGAATAGAAAGTTTGAAGCCATGGGACAGAGAAGGCCTAAGACACTATAAGCAGAGACTGTAGACGACAAGAATGCCACTAGAGATGTGGACAGTAGGACTCAAGTTGTAGTTTAGGGCAGAGTACTTGCCCTTGAGAGGATGTTACACAAGCCTGTGAAGGTGAAGCCTAAGCTGCATTTGGAACCCTCAGGATGTTGGAGATGCCAGGGCTATGGGAAAGCTATCAAGAGAAAAGCAGTCATTAAATAGAGCAGGCTCCCGAGAGATGCTGTGTGTGCTACAAGTTACGATGAGAAGGGACGACATAAGACTTATTTGTAGGCAGAGCCAGGCAGATCTCTGTGAGTTTGAGGCCAGCCTGGTCTACAGAGCGAGATCCAGGATAGACACCAAAACTACACAGAGAAACCCTGTCTCAAAAAACAAAAACAAAAACAAAAACAAAACAAAACAAGAAAGACCTATTTATGCCCAGATGTTGCCACCAAGACCACCAAAACCAAACATGGCACTGCAGAGCTCAGTGTTTGTCTTGCTGGGTTTGAGTCTTGCTTTGGTCCAACCTTTGCTTGCCCTGCCCTTATTCCCTTTTTAAAATGAGAATGAATTGCTCTGTACCATCGTGTGGTGGAATCATATCACTTCTTTTTACTTTACTGAGGCTTACAGTTAAGTGATTGCCCTGAGTCTCAAACTTTGCAAATTTAAACAATTTTAGAACTACTAATATTCTGGGAAATCATGGGCCAAGGAAAAGGTTCACTGGGTAAAAGCATTAGCCAGGAAAGCCTGAGTTTAATCTCTAAAACCCAGGTAAAAAGTGGAATGTGGTGGCACACCATTCCAAGGACCTCCAAACACCTGGAGCCCAGCACAGCAGAAACCAGAGAAACCCTCACTCAATGGAAAGTGAGAATGGACTCCTGAAGGGTGACCTCTGACCTCCACATCATGGCATGTACACACACATATATACACACACACACATACAAAAAAATGGGGGGATACATATACAGATAAACACATTTTGCATTATGAAATAACCATGAGCCTTTAAAGACCAGGGATGGGATGTCATGGTTCAGTATGATGTATTTGAGTGTTGAGTTGACAAAGGGTAGACTTGTGATGACTGGGTTTAGAATCACCTAGGAGACACACCTCTGTGTCTCTCTGTGATGGTTTGGATGAAAATGGCCTCCATAGGCTCCTATGTTAGCATACTTGTCCCCTAATTAGTGGAACTGTTTGGGAAGGATTAGGAGGTGTGGCCTTGTTGGAGGAGGTGTGTCATTGGATGTGTGGATCTCTCCCCACTCTCTCTCTGCCTGCTGCTTGTGGATCAGGATGTAGAGCTCTCAGCTACTGCTCCAGTGCCATGCCTGCCTGCTTCTCACCATGATCACAGACCAACCCTCTAAAACTGTAAGCAAGCCCCAGTTAAATGCTTTCTTGCCTTGCATGGTGTCTCTTCACAGCGAAAGGACAGTAACTATCTCTGAGGATGGTTCTAGATTGGTTTAACTGAGGAGGGAATTCCCATCATGAATGTGGGCGGTCATATCACATGGGCTAGGAACACAGACTGAATAAAAAGGAAGAAAGGAGAATGCTGTGGATATTGCTCTATATAAATAAAGCACTGATTGGCCAGTGACCAGGCAGGAAGTATAGGCAGGACAAGGAGAGAGGAGAATTGAGGAAGGAGGAAGGAAAGAGACACACTGCAGCCACCGCCAGGACCAGCAGCATGTAAAGACGCCGGTAAGCCACCAGCCACGTGGCAAGGTATAGATTTATAAAAATGGGTTAATTTAAGATATAAGAACAGTTAGCAAGAAGCCTGCCACAGCCATACAGTTTATAAATAATATAAGCGTCTGAGTGATTATTTTATACGTGGGTTGTGGGACTGCGGGGCTTGGTGGAACCTGGACAGAAGCCCTCCAGCGACAGCAGAAATTTAGCTGAGCATTAACATTTATTTCTTTGTTTCTCTCTCTCCCTCCCTCCCTCCCTCCTTCCCTCCCTCCCTCCCTCCCTTCCTTCCTCCCTCCTTCCTTCCTTCCTGTTTTGTTGTTCAAGACCGAGTTTCTCTGTGTAGTCTTCTTGCCTGGCCTGGAACTCACTCTGTATGTAGACCAGGCTGCCCTTGAAATCACAGAGACCCGCCTGCCTCTGTCTCCTGAGTGCTGGGATTAAAGGAGTGCACCACCACCTCCCTGCTTATTTCTGTTTTCTGACTGTGGACACAATGTGATCAGCTGCCTCAAATTCCTGCTGCCACAGCTAAAGACAGCTCACCACCATGCCTTCCCACTATGGCAAACTATACGTTCAACCGCGTCTCCTCCACTGTGGTGCACTACACGTTCAAACCGTGTCTTCCCCAATGTGTGAACTATACATTCAAATTGTGAGCCAAAACCCATCCTTCTTGACTGGAGTTTATCAGGTAATTTGCCACAGCGATGAGAAAAGTAACTAATACAGTCCCCCATGGCACCCACATACCTATGGCTGTACTTCATCCACAAAGGCTTAATGTGTCCTGGGCACATCCACTTTTTCTCTTGAAATTCCTTATACTCCATAGCACCCTCAATCTTCCTCCAGAGGACCTGGGTTCCTTGTTCCTATTAGCTAGCTCATCTGTGCCGAAAGCTGGCCTTCCTGAGTCCTTCACTGGATGACCAGCTCTTTGAAACACGAGCAGAGTGGACTCTGATGCAGTAACACACCACAGAAATCCGGGTGTGACGGCTCATGCCTATAATGCCAGCACTTGGGAGGTGGAGGCAGGAGGGTCATGGGCTCGAGGCTAGCCCATTGATTATGCCTCCTGGTTTCTACATGTGTCCTTCACTGCAACTGAGCCCCAGGGGACCCTTAACACCTACAGACAGCGGACTGGTCCCACTGGATCTGGCACACTGACTAGGGTGACTTCATCCCTGGTGGGGACCATCTTCCTTTACCTATGTTACTCTATCTCAGCCCTCCATGCCACACTGTCCTCCCAAGCCAGGCTCCACCCACAGGCCCATCTGCCCCCAACGGGGTGGCTATATAAGGTTACAGCCTTCTCCCCTCCAACGCATCCTATCTAACCCCTGGAGCTGAGGGGTGGGAAGGAGGCAAGGGGCCAGGCGAGGATCGATGGTGGCCTGGCCCCTGGCCCAGGCCTCCATTAGCCTGGACTCTGGTTTCCCGAAGCCGGATTGTACCCAGGGCCTCTGATGGTGCTGCCAGTCACCCGGGCAGTAGGTGGCTTTTCT